CATCTAGTCTGACCTCCAGCACCAGCCGGCTCCGCTCATGACATGCCCACCATGCGGACGTCCAGCCTGTCCTTGAACACCCGCACCGATGGGGCCTCAACCACCTCCCGTGGAAGCCCACTCCACGCCCTCGGGGTCCTGACTGTCAGGAAGTGCTTCCTGGCATCTAAATGGGACCTTGCTTCCCTGAGCTTTGCTCCATTGGAGCATGTCCTGCCTTCCTCTGCAGGGGAGAACAGGCCTCTGCCCACCTCCGCGTGACACCCCCTCGCATACCTGCATGTCGCCAACAGTGCCTGCAGTGCCCCTCACCTCCCTGAGCTTTGCTCCACTGGAAGGCGCCCTGCCCCCCCTCCCCCGCAGCGGATTGCTGCTCCAGTGCTCCAGAAACCTGTGCAACTCCTAAATGTCCAGGTTACAAAAGTGGATACAGTCCCAGAAGCATCTGTCTCACCTGAACTTTTCGGGGGTGGGGGGAGGAAAGCTACACCACAATAAGAGGAGAGAGTCTCAATACTTCTGCAGTAGGAAAAAGGCTGGGGTCGGGGGATGTCTCAAACAAGACCCAAGCTTTTCTTATAGCCAGACATTTTATTGAAAACTCACAGGAGCTCCTGCCGTTGTCCAGGCTGAGGTTAGGCGGAGGCAGGCGCGAAGTCCTCCGGGCGAGCTCCGTGGCCAAGCGGGGGCGAAACCCAGCGCTCTGGGCTCCCAGTCCAAGGATCGAACCGCCCTGCTCCCCCAGCTCTTCCTTTTAGAGGGAAGGGGAGAGAGAGTGGCTTGACCGCCACGTCCGCCCGCGCCCTTGGCCTCCCCGGCTGAGCGCCAGGGTCAGCGGCAGTCTACCAGCAGGCCCGCTGCAGCGCCCGCCCAGCGCTGCCTCCCCAGCTGCCCACGCCGACGGCCCCTCCCCGCCAGGCGTCGAGGGCGCCCCCTCCCGCCGCGGCGGCCGGCAGGGGGCGCGCTCCGAAACGGGGTTCCCCCCGGCCAATTAGCTCCTTGTGGGGGGTGACGTCAGGCGGGCTGGACCACGCGGCGGCGGCGGCGGCGGCGGCGAAGGAGCGAGTCGGCGGCCAGGAGGCGGGCGCGCTGCAGAGCCGGAGCGGCCGCCGCTGCCGGGATGCTGAGGCTGCCCGGGTGAGGACCGGCTCGCTGCCAGCCGCCCGCGCCCCCCGCGCCCCCCGCAGGCTGCCGCCCCCTCGCGCCCCCGGGAAGAGCCTCGGGCATCGCCGGCCTCTCGGGGGAGTTCATCTCGCCGCCGCGCTCAATGGCCCCCGGAGCCGCTCGGTGGTCCCTCTCCCCCGAGCTGGGGGAGGACCCGAAGGCGCTGCCACCCCTGTAGCCTTCGCCCCGCGCCCGCGCCCCCGAATCGGAGAAGCCATCGTCTCCCAAGCGGGGAAAACTTGGGCGCCCACTTCACGGGGGGCCCGCGACGCAGGGGCTGAAACAGTCGCCCCCCCCCCCGAACCCCACCGCGGCTGGAATACCAACACCCGCCCGCTCCGTCAGCCGCCTGCTCCTCTGCAAACTCTCCGCACCTTCACTTCTGTCCTCTCCGCCGAACGAAGGAGCCCCCCTGCCCCCCATTCTATGCACCCCCCCGGTAGTGCACATGGCTGGGGCTGTGAATATCTGATTTCCCCCTCCCATCCCTGGGATCTCAGACGTGACAATGTGGATACAGCGGTTTTTAGTTACCAGGTAAGACATCTCAACGGGAGGGTGGGAGGGGGGATTTTAGGTGGGGGGAGAAGTTGGTGGCAGCGAATGGTGGTGGTGACAGAAATGTGCTTGTTTGGCAAGGACTGGGGGCGCGCGTGTCTGATGGACATGGAAAGATGGATATAGGTTGGATATGGGGGACTCGGAAAGATGGATATGGGGGGTGTGATTTGAAGCTGTTTCTGTGTTGCTAGCGAGGCGATGGGGCGGCGGCGGGGGGGGATGCCCTGACCTTCTGCTTAACTTCTGCCACCCAAAGGAACTGGATGGATGGAGAGCTAGTTTGTCAGCGGGCCAAAGAGGGGGCACGCGGTTCTGTCCAGCTCTTCTGTTAGTTCCGCTCAGACTTTTCTTGGAGTGCTTCTGGTCTGCCTCTCGGGGAGACTCAGCCCATTTCAGGTTCGGTGTGACAGGTTTGTTCTAGAATGAGAGAGGCTCACCCTTGAGGGAAAGGGCCCTTGTGCTGTGGGACCTTCAATGCCAGAACGCGCAGACCCGCTGCAGTTCGGGCGCCAGATCTGGGCAGCTGTTTCCTTTCCTTCCCGATTTTAACCATGTATTGGGGTCAAACAGATTGCGCAGTTTAACAAGCAGCTTCCTGTGCCTTGAGGGAGCCGCTTCTTCAGGCAAGTGCGTTTTGCGCCTCGGCAGTGGCGGCTGCTCAAGCCCAAACGGATGCACTGGAATGGGGACTTCCATGGGACTCGCTCCCAAAGAAGTCTGCTCAGGATTGCTTGGGACCGTCTGCCTGAGAAGGCAGAGGAGAAGGAGGACACGGTTTCCAGCCCACCACAGGCACCCTGGTCAGCTCCCAGAAGAATGCTGAGACACGGAGTATGTGCAGCGGTGTGTGTGTGTGTGTATCCCCGTCCTCTTGTGTGAACTTGTTGTCCCCTGGCTGGCGGAGCGACATGCACGAACCAAGCCCATAAGTTGCAGGGATGTTTATGCAACGGCCGTCTCACACGCCCTGAGACATGTGCCCAGGGAGAAGCCGCTCCAATTCAGGTGGCACCTTTGGGTGTATAAATCTTGGCAAGGTGGAAGGGAGAAGTTGCCTCCTTTAACGGGGTGCCTCCTTTAACGGGGTGCTGCACCCAACCTTGGTTTATTTTGCTGGGGCCCTTGTTCCAACATTTGGCTTTTGAACTCGCCCCTGCCCCGTGCTGCTTCATGCGTGGGCTTGAGGGACATATACGGCCCTGGACTGCTCCTCAGTCTCTCATCCCTGGTTCAAGGACTCAGGGTTACGGGCATGTAAACATGGCCAAGGAACTGCGAACACAGGATCAGTCTGATGGCCCGATTTGAAGGCGAAATTGCTGGCTGAGCCTGTGTGTGTGTGTGTGTGTGTTGGGGAGGGGGGTTGTGAAAGCCAGATTGTTCTTCATGTGTCTGTCCACTGGGATGCAGTAGACTCCGGGTTTGGGGAGAACAAGGGGAAGGATATAGAGATCAATGTTGTGCGTTGGCACACACTCGCCACGGTGCACCTTTCTCTTCCTTAATCAAAGAACAGGGGCCGTGGATGGAGACCCCTGCCAGAGACCGGGTGTTCCCGAAGCAGTTTTGGATCATGCCGCTAGCGTCCTTTGCTGTGCTGCTAGCGGGGAGGGATTGCGGAGACAAAGGCTGTGGGGGCTAACCCCGCACCCCACTGCTGTGCCCCTGCCCCTTCCACCCTGAACGGTGCCAAGGGCATTGCCTGAGCACTGTGGGAGGAGCAGGGCATCCGTGCCGGAGGAGCTGCGCCCTTCTCCCTCGCGCTGAAGTGCGCACTGGCTGCCGCTGCCTAGAACATGCTGGGGCTGGTCTTCAGGATGCATTCAGGGGAGATACATCACATTCACTGCCTTCCGAAATCTTGTCCTCCCCAACTTGCTCCACTGCCCCCCCCCCGACTGGAGAGGAGCCTGAATGAGGAGGCTCTTGTCTCCCACTGGAGCAAACCAGCCGTCCTTCTCCTCTGATGTGCTGGACTTTGTTTATCTATTTATTCGCTTATTTCATTTCATTTCTCTACTGCCCCACGGTCGAAGCTCCCTGGGCAGGTCACGTGTTTGCTTTGCCTGGCAGCAGCCTCGGGTGGTGCTCCACCATGGCCTCTTAGTCAAAGATGGCAGGGAGAAATCCGGTGGCCTCTGCACCCGAAGCATCCTCTCCACCATGGAGCAATGGTCACCCCAGATGTTGAACGCGATGCTTCGCTTTCCTGGACGGGTGGTCGTGTCCGCAGCCCTCTCTGCTCATTCTGGCTGGAGGGAGCAGGCTCCTGTGTGTGGAGGGTCATCAGGAACAAGGGAGCCCCAGTGCCCTGGAGGTGGACCTGGTGCCCCTGCCAGGGAAGTTCACCTTCCTCCGTCATGTGGCTCAGCTGCTCTCGCTGACCACACATCGGGCTTCCTGACCCACAGACCCGGTGCCAGATGCAGGAGCTAGAAGATGCTCCTCTGTTAATTTGCCTTGAGGGCCATTTAGGCTGGGGAAGTGCTTTGCAATCCCGCACATTCAAGGAGCAAGAGGCAGCTCTCCTGTGGACGGGGAGCTGGCCGGGGCCTTTCCTGAGGAGCACTCGTGTGGAAGTCTTACGTAACATGGTTTTTATGCCGACTGTCGAAAATGGCATAAAGCACTGTTCCATCCACTGGTGTGATTGGAGGGGGAGCAGAGAAATAAAGAGAATTTGCTTTTCCAGTGTTACCTTTCCCAAAATATAGATATTTAAAGAATCTGCAGAGGAAAAGTGGGTCTGCCGCTGTTTTATGCTTCAGTTTCAAGAGGTGGACAGTGAAATGCTGTAAGTTTGCAGTTGCGATCCTAAGTTTTTGCACGGATTTGTAAAAGAGGGAGGAAGTGGAGCTTGTCTTGAAACAGAAAGGCACAATCCAGGCAGCGATGCCTGCAAGACCGACCTACAGCTGCGTGGCGACAGAGGGCCCCGTGCACTTGGGTGTGCCACGCGTTGCTGGTGCTCAGTGCCAGCCCCTTCCTCAGCCATGCCGCCAGCCCGGTGGATGAGTCGGGCATGTGGTCTTTGACGGGTCTCAGCTGCCAGAGCTGGACACACACGGCACCCCACAGGCACTGCCATTTCATCAGCCTGTCATGAATCCTCCATACTGTAAGGACAATGGAACCGCACGGTACTGATCCAGCTCAGATTTCTAGGAAACCGAGTTGTGGTGGATTCCAGGATAACAATATCTGAGAATGCAAGTGAGGACCACAACAAAACCAAGTGAGAAGGAGCCGCAACCGCTGCAAAGGGATATTTGCAGGGAAGGGGTGTGTGTGTGTGTGTGTGTGTGTATGTGGAGGGGGGGACACCAAATTCAGCATCTCCTTGGCAGCCAAGCTCTTCTGTACATGCAATTCTGTGCATGGAATGCGCATGCAGAATCCTGGTCCCTTGCTGCACTGGGGCCACTGGGTCATGTTCCCCCACTAATGAGAGTCTGACAAATGTGCCAGCCATGGAGCTCAGGTAGCTTTTCTCAGGTGGCTTTATTTTTGCTAGCTTTTAAATTGAATCTGGAAGGAGCTGGGGCATGGGTGGGTTCCTATTGTTTTGCATTATTTGCAGTATTTTAGACTCCTCAGTCTGAAAACCACCACCAAGGGCTTATATAGAATCAGAACAAGAAGGCAATCCCTCCCTGCCTGCAAGGTTAGGGTCAAAAAAGACCTGACATGCAAGGAAAGAGGGAAGGTGAGGGAAGAGGGAGAAGACGGCTCGCAGAAGGCCAGTCTTGCTTCCCCTTCTCAGCACAGCCTGTTGCAATCAGACACATGTGAACACTTGTTCTGTGTGGTAAAACCCAAAGCCAATGCCATGGGAGGGACGGGAAGCAAGCCCACCGGTGTAGCAATGCCTGCATGTTGCGCTTGGAAGACTGTGGGTTCCAGTCAACCCATGCCCAAAGGGATGTGACGGAGCTGGTGAAGGGCAGCCTAAATGGTGTGGGGCTGGAGGGGTTCTCCCCTGATCGGGGTCAGGGGGTGGCTGGCTGGAGGCCGGAATGCTGCTTTTCAATGCAAAGGGTTGGGTGTTCGAGGGGAGCTTCTCTTGAGGGATGGAAGCAGAAGAGGCAGAAATCTGCTTCAGAAAACCACCTCTGCCAGAAAGGTTCCAGGTGTGGGGAAGCAGCCAGCTCATCCAAGGGGATTTAACAGAGGCTGCCCCGATTCCTGCCCCTTAATTCCAGCAAGTTCCAAAGGGGGGCAGCAGGGGCCTTCACAGAGATTCAGGGCTCCAGATGGAAGATTTGGGGCAGCAGCCCCGGTGGGCCTCCACTGCCTCCTCCCTGGCCTGAGTTCCAGACGCTGGGACCTAGGGACAGCATCTCTGCACTTGCCTGGTGTCCAAAATATGTTGTGTGTATTGCTATCTTACAATCGGGGAGGGGGGGGAGGCTCAGAGAGAGCAGCTTGCCTAAAGCCCTTGTTGATTCATGGTTGAGGTGAGACTCAAACTGGAATCTTCCTGAGTCTCAGCTGACATTTAGCCACATCAGTCCCTTCAGTTATAGCTTCCAGAGCCCTTTCCAGGGACGCTGCTGGAGGAAGGAAGCTGAAATTTATTGTTGTAAGCCGCCCCGAGGCTTCGGCGAATGGGGCGGCATAAAAATGTTTTAATAAATAAATAGATAGATAGATAAACAAACAAACTCTTGGCCTGATTCGGAAGGGCTTTTCTGGAGCTCTTGGGTGCATTCTGCCTTTCTCTGCACAGTGACTCAAAGCGATGCCCTGCTGTGCAAATGCAGCAGGAGGAAGGAAGAGGCAGGACCTGTGTGTGGATTGCATCCCTGTCAGGCTACAAGCTAGGGGTAGGGGCCATTTCTAGTGACCCCAGCATTAAAAAAGCAAGCCAGCCAGCCAGCCAGCCAGCCAGCCAGCAAGCAAACCTCTTTAAGTAGGAAACAGGCGAGGCAGGGATAAAGGTTCTAGTCCTGGGTAAATTCGGAAGGATGCTTCAGAGAAAAAGGAGTCCCCTTCCCAAAGCCCACTTCCTCTGATGCCAAAGGGGTGGATTTTATTTACAGAAATCAACCCGCTGGTTTGGAATGATTTTAATGACCGATGGTCTCAGAAAGCAACTTGATGCGTGGGCCTTGCCATTCCACTTATTTCCCTTCTGTCTCTACTTGCTGTTTCATGTGGCTTGTTTCTGAACCCTTTAGCCCACTGTGTTCCCTGGCGAACAACTTGTCTACTGCCAGGGACCAACTCAGTGAGCGCTTGAAATGCAGGATGCTCTGCCTGCTCTACCATGAAGCACCATATCTTGCTTCTTCTGCACCAGGACCTGCTCCTTCCTCGCTGCCTTGGGGCTGGGGCAGGAACACTCCGCAGAGTGCATGTGCTCCCTCGGAGTTACAGCCGTGCCGCATAAACCGTGGGGCCGCCTGGTCTTCTGGCCTGTCCTTGGCTGAAAGGACAAATGCCACAGCCTGCTCACAAGCAAAGAGGCTGCTCACTGGCGGGCGAGAGCCTTCAGCAATGCATGGTGGGGGCGTGGGAAGGCTACGGGCGCGAGGAGAGCTGGCTCCTGGCTGCGAGGGGGGGGGGGAGGCAGGCAGTGCTGTTGGGTTGCTGTGCATCGGCCGCAGCTCCTCCTTGCGTGCCTGTTGCCACTGGGGCCGTGGCTGCCGAGGGGCAAACCTGCTGTGGGTGGTGAACTGACTGGGGGCTTCGGGGCCAGCGGGTGGCATGGGAGGGCAGTGCCAGAGCAAGCACCCACACAGGCGTGGGAAGCGCCCGGCAGAGCAGAAGCGGCCAGGGCACACAGCGCTGTCCTTTCTGGCTCATTGCATCTTTGGCCGACTAGAAGGAGAGGGCAGTTGAGCGCTCATTCCATCCAGCTGAGGGCAGTTGAGGTGTGTTGGAGTCCCAGTGTTCCCAGCCAGCAGGGAAACGAGGCGTTCCATGAACCTCCGGTGGCCACAAAGGCCAGGAAGGGTGTGTGGGGGGGGTGCTACCCAGCTTCCCCAGCTGCAGCAGGCTCAGGTGAAGTTGTGGAGCTGAGATCAGCCACTTGGCAGATCTGTGGCTAACTGGAGGGCCCCCTGGACCATGCGGGTGGAAACGCCGGCATTCCAGCAGAGGCAAGGGCAAAGGGACTCCGCCGCATCCTGAGCTGGGCCCTTATGAACTGAGCTGCCTCTTGCTGGAATCATGGAGTTGGAGAGAGAGGTCTACTCTGAGTGGTCAAGAGCAGAGCCAAGGGAGAATAGAGACTCCTGCACCGGTGGAATCCTTTTCTGAGGTTTATGAGATCTATCCATGGTGCTGAATTCCACCCGCCTCCCCTCTTACCAAATAAGTTCACAGCATGGAGCACCATTTATCACTCCTATATAGTTCAGTATAAAGCTGCAATGGCTAAAGAGCCCCACTAGCGGGGGGGGGGGGGCAGCCTTCCCTGGCTACAGAGGGAGACGTGTGGCCCGTTCTCCAGGACCTCCATCTTACTTACTGTTCCCCCAGGGGTGGCACTGAGCAACAATCCGCTGGGTAGAAAAGGGAGGGAGACGGAGCTGAGGCTGTCGGAGCAGACAAGCTGAGCAGGAAACAGTCAAGGTGTCAGTAGCAGTGGCATCCCTTGATTAGTTCTGGACAGACCCCCACCCCTGCCAACACCTTGGAAGCAGACCCAGACTGCCTGGCATTCCAGTACCAGGCGCCACAATGGGACTTTGGCATGCCCACTCTCTGAAAGGTGCTGGGGCCCAGATTTACCTGGCTCCAGAGAGAGAGAGAGAGAGAGAGAGAGAGAGAGAGAGAGAGGGAGGGAGGGAGGGAGGGAGGGAGGGAGGGAGATTCTGTCCTTCCTTCCTTCCTTCCATCCATCCATTTATTTTAGCATTTCATATCTCTCCCTTTACAGTGTCTTATCCTGGCATGATGGATGCCTCTAACGGTTTGTTCTCCCTGCAGTGTGCTCGCCCTTTGCCACTGGGCCGGTGGCGGGGAACTGCCTGTCCAGGGGCCAGCCCGGCTCCCTTGGGGCCCAGCAGGTCATGCCACCATCTTCCTTTTGCCTGGCCAGGGATCATCCGGTGCTTTCTGGCGTTGTCTTTCCCATACCAAAGGTCACCTGGGGCTGTGCTCCCACGGCCCACATTCTGGCGGTGCCCTCTTGCCTTTGTGGCACGTACGGTGGCCCTCAAGAGCTTCTCCAACACTGAATTCAGCCTGTTGCTGTGAGGCATTCCCCATGTGGGACTGACGCACGTGCATCTTTCGCAAGGAGAAGCACCGGAGTGCTCCCAAACCATTTCCATCAGGCACCCGTGATATTTCATCTCAAGCGCTGCATTATGCTTGCTTTGAATTTGTACATACTTCAGCTTTCTTGTCCCATCCAGGACACACCTGTGATGTCTCCGAGACAGATCTGATGTAAGCTTCCCAAAGGTGGTCCCAATCTACCCACTCCTCCCAGTTGCTGAGGAACAACCCCCCTGATGAAATGTATTAGGCAAAGCAGAACAATAACAACAATTGAATGATGTCTCCAGAATCTTATTCATTACAGTAGAGCTAATGAGAAGGTAGCTGTTAAATCCAATTCCTGTCACTTGGATTTTTATTTGGGGTTGTAACCAATCACTTACGGAAACAATAGGAGTGAGGGAGGGAGAGCAGTTGGGCAGCAGTAAATTTATGTTTACTTTCAACACACACATACTGCTTTTAAAGCCTTTACTTTGAGCATCTTCTTGTTCCTTCATTTCTCTGGGCTGCGTATCAGCTTTGGTAGAGGAGGTCCAGGTACAAATGAAATCCAACTTGAGCACCAGGGATTTCTGGCTTGAGATCTCGGACTTCGAGGGGTGATCCTATGCATGCTGGGCAGAAAGAAGCCCTGCAGCCCCAGGCCTTTCCCAGCCAGCCATGGGATGCCTGGGTGTCCGGGCATGCCGAGGACCGCAGCCTTGACGCCTCCTGCTGCGGAAGAGCATGCCTCCCAGAGAAGCCGAATCCGCCAACCTGCAGCTTAATCAGTTCAGACTTGTTTTGTGCATGTCCCCTCACTAGTTTTACTGATCAGCCCTTTATTCTTTCCTTCCTCCAAGGAGATGATGAAGCGGCATGTGTGGGATTCAGGCCATTTCATCTGCCTGGCATTTGGTGTCCAGACTCCGTACCCAGGCCCAGTTGTGCCACAGCAGCTGCTTTGGGACACTGGGAAATGTCCCTCCAAAGGCGTTGGAGAGTGTCTGCTTGGTGGGAGCACTGGTGCAGTGGCGGATCTGGGGAAAGAGTTGGGAAGCCACAGTCCAC